TTAGCCATTATCATGTCTTACAATATATACATGATTTATTAAGGATTAAATATCTATAAACAAGACAATAAATGTTAAAAAAAAACGAAATCCCACAACGAATTACACAAATAAAAGCTAAGATTAAACAAAAATGTTCAACAAAAACATATTTTAAATAAATGGGCAAAGTATCACAAACTAATTTCCCCCTGGGTTAAAGACATTATTCAGATTCTGATCAACAACAAAGTGAGAAACCACCAAGTCAAAAACCTAAATGTATCAATACAAAACGGATAAAAAACCAAACACCTGCTGACGATCAAGTCACAAAAAAACACACCTGGCCCTTGTGTTGTGTTCGAAAGCTGTTACCGTTCATGGTGTTCGCGGGTCAATTTTGACCCATGATTTAACTCAGTACAAAACACTCAAAAATAATTACTATCATCCAATATTGTTTTAACTACATCATAACTAACTTGTTATGCATTCATAACCGTACAATTCTGTTGTAATTTTATGTTATGGCCCAAAAACACATTACACCACATATTGCACACGTGCATGTGTGAGTTCAGGTTCAAGTGTTGGTGTACATATTCTTTGAGAAAGGTCGAGTTCCCGTGGGGGGAGGGGGGCAGAGGGAGGGGAGACCAGGTGCATGTTGCGAAAAATTATTGTTACAGTGGATGAAGGGGGCGGGGGAGGGGTGTCTAAAGTCAAAGATGGATCTTGATTGGGCCAAATTTGACCCCGAGTGTCCCAAAAAGTGACCCATGAAGCCTTGTTCCGATAAAAAATACTAGAGCGTAGTTATTATTTTAACTTGAAACGGGTCACGGGAGACCCCAACACAACATAAGGGTTAAGACCAATCCCTCAGAGTATTCAGTGTTGCTAGGCAGAAAAACAACGTCTCTGTGCATTAAAAGGTGATTTCAATTATAATCTTGCTTTATTTTTCTCGCAGTAATCTGACTTGTATAAAACCGTGACTTGTGGGAATACCAGAAAATGAAATTCTTGAAAGCGCAGAGTTCAGAGACAGTGCAAAACGAACCAGCTCTGATCCTCACAGCTGTCAGATCTTATGTAACGTCATTAGAGCGTATTTATTACGGCTCTCTGGCGCCGTGTAAACCAGCTGCAGAAAGATTGGTCTCCACACACGCTCCTGATGGTGCTGAGTGTTCGTTATTGATCACATATACTGTCATAGGAGTGCCATAAACAAATACAAAAATAATAATTAAGAAATCAAATTTACAAATGAAATCTAACAGCAACATACTGAAAATTATTGACTTAATTTAGCATTTAAAAAAAATATATTTAAATGAGATTAGTTGATGGATATTATGGAATAATTGTAAAAAACATTTCCTACATTTGTATTTCTTTGAGTCTTTTTTTCCCCCATTACATATTTACATACATTTGCTGCATTTTGGATAGGTTAAAGTCTTATTTTTCACATTATAGTTTAAATTGAAAAGCGTTTTCTGCAATTTTATAATTTATTTTTCCAAACATAATTTAAATTTAAAAATATTTGTCTAAAATGTTTCATATTTGCTGCAATTTTTACATGTTTTTCACATTATAGTTTAAATCTAAATACATTTGCTGCCTTTTTATACGCATTTTGTTTTGTTGTGTTTAGTTGTTGACCCACATCTCCACATCAGTAACCATGCAAGTCATTGTTTTAAACTCTTAAATATACATTTGATTTCACCCTTAGTTATGCTTTTGTTTGTACAAACTGCACATGGGTTTGCAGGGTGTTAAGGAGCCGTCTACACTTTGGTTTATTTGCTCAGCTCTTGTTGAAAAGGTGACAAACTGTTTCACAATCAGGCCACACAGAGGACTCAGGAACAGGTTACACAGGGACAAGAACAGGCGGCAAAACTGGGTCATACGTAGAAATAGAGCTTTATTTTAAGGAACAAAGGTGTATTGGAATTAGTAAAAACCTGGTTCCATGTAGGTCTGAAAGTGTGGCGTTTTTAAGGTTACATTCTGGTGTGTGAGAGGGTGATATCTGAGTGGTTGTGTGTGAGGGGGGGGGACTGTTTGTAAAAGACGACCTTGTGCTGAAAGCCTGTTTCCGCTCTGAAGGCGATGAATAGCAGAACTTTCCGGGCAGACCTGCCTGGACACTTCCTCCGTATCGACCCGATCACTGAGCGTCTATTGTCAGATCCACTTTCTCACACTTAGGACAGCTAAATGCATTTAAACAAGTCATTTAAAATACAAAAATATCTCTGTATTTAAGTTTTAAAGGGGCCCCATTATTATTTTTCCATTTCCTGTAATGTGTTATAGGTTTTTGTGCAAAAGCTAAATTCCCTGTGTAACACTCACGCTTCTATTAACTAGAGCTCCAATACATTGTACGTGATAGCCTAAGGGGCGGGACATCTCTAAGCGGTTGACCAATCACAACAGAGCCGGCCAGCTAACCAATCAGAGCAGACTGGGCTCTGGTTTCAGACAGAGGGTGAAAAGAGGTGCTGCAGCACAGGCAGTATGAGAAAAATAAAGAGCTTTTTGAACATTAAAGCATGGAGACAAGTAGAGACACTACATACTGATATACACCTGAACATCAGCAGGAGAGGACTCTTTAAAGTAGAGACACTACATACTGCTATACACCTGAACATCAGCAGGAGAGGACTCTTTAAAGTAGAGACACTACATACTGATATACTACACCTGAACATCAGCAGGAGAGGACTCTTTAAAGTAGAGCCACAACATACTGATACACACCTGACATACGACTGGAGAAATGAGACTTGGATTATACTGGGCAAGTAGTGTGAGAGTTTGGAAATGGACATGCGTATGTATTGATATCATTTGATCTACAAATCTACTTCAATTGATCAAGATTCTTCTCTGCTGTTTCTCTGTCTCTTTGATTCTTCGTTGACTGTAGAAGCGTGTGTGAAAAGTTGTCCATGGTCATTTGGTGTGTGCAGAATCCCCTCTAACACACATCCTCCTCTTACTGTAACTTACTCGTGTTTTTCTGAGCTCTGCCTTGTTTCTTTTCCCCTGAAGCAGTCAGTGCTGTCTGAGAGAGGATGTGTTATTCACGCTGATTTATAATCTCACAGAAACACAGAGTGGCCTTTCACATGGACTTCCCCTGCTCTCTGACACTCGTCCTTTTCTCAAACGAAGCCTCTCTGTGTTTGTGTTGTGTCTCTGTGGATGTCATCCTGTCCGTCCTCCAGGGTGACTCGGCTTTATCCCCCCCCCCCCACATGGTTTCCGGAATCCTCTCCTTCCTGTTTTCCAACCCGTTTTGTAGCCTCTTCTCAACATACCTTCCTAACTTCGACATGTCTGCCTCAGTGTTTATGACTGCTGTCGGTAGATGGATCCTTTCTGCAGGATAATGATGATAAGTGGTGGTGAGTCAGGGGTGGCTGACAGTAATGACAGGATACACGAGCTGTTGATCCTCTTCAGGGTTTCCTCAAAAGTCTGAAATCACAGGGGGGGATAAGCACGACACGGCGTATATATATATATGACGTGTTTCACTCGTGTCTGGCTCACACACTCTGCAGCATGGTGCAAAACCTGGATTTCTAAGCATGGTGCTAATATTTGTTATTGGGAAGTCACAGGTGACACCAGAAAAAAGCATTTAGGAGTCAAGGAGGCACAACGTCTACAAATAGATGTGAAATAACCAAAGAAAATACAAAAATAGACCTTAAATCGACATAAACAAACCAGAAAGACGCTCAAAACGACCACAGACACAATACGTACAAAAGAGACGCAGAATTACTGCAAAGACACAAAATGACCTCAACATGACCTGGGTTTCTGGTTATGTTCGGACTGCAAAGCGAAATCCTGCAACATTTTTTCTTGCACTTACATTTCGTAAGTGCGTTGCGTTGTTGGACGAGCCCAGGTCTCAACATTTGTCTTAACAAGTCTTTGAATCCTGTATAAAGTGAATACCTTTGTTCGCCTTTTAAATCTCCATTAATCTGCTTTTAGAAATACCAGCAGAGACCGTTTCAGACGTGCAACCCCAGATCAAATGCATGCTGCCGGCTCTTTGAGCAGGTTCTCTCTCAGTGATCGTGCTGATATGTTAAAAGCTTGTTGTTCATGTGTTGTGTCTTGATATCTGTCTGTCACATTTCAGACTTGATCTGACCATTAAAGGATTATCGCAAATGTATTTATTTTATGTTTTGTGTGATTTTATATTTGATGTATCTCTCTGTACAGCACTTTGGTCTGGAGGTTTTAAAGTGCTATATAAATCAAGTTGGATTGGATGGTATATGTATGGGTTAAAATGTGATGGGCAGAAGGCAACAACAGAGGGATTTATGTACGGCTACATCCAAATAAACTTCAAAACAATACACGTTTGATTAATCAGGCTGATAAAAAGAGAGACATTGTTCTTGATCTTCCACAGAGGCTCCGTACAGTGAGACCCCTTCCTCGTATGGATATGTTCTGGAGCCTCGCAGTGACTATACGCATAAGCATATAGGAGTCAAAGAGGCAAAATGTCTTCAAATAGACGTGAATTAACCAACAAAAAGACAAAAATATTCCTTAAATCGACCAAAAAGAGGCTCAAAATGATACAAACCAAACACAAGACGTCCAAAAAGAGACGCAGAATGCAAAGAGAAGACAAAATGACCTCAACATGGCGTTAAACCTGGGTTTATAGTTATGTAAGGACTCTAAAGTTATACAATAAGAAACTTGACATGTGTACAAAGAAAATCACCTGCTAAATGTCTTCTTGCTCTCACATGTCTTTGTTTGTCTTAAGAACGTTGCGATGTTGTTGGAGCCTCGCTAAAACGTTCTTAGCCTTTTAAATCTCCACGAATCTGCTTTTAGAAACCCACCTCAGGGTGTTTGAGACGGCTTCGTGTCCCACGCTGTTCCTCCATGTTCACTACAGTCTATTAACAACACTCCTCGTCTTCTTTATCTCTTCACAGAGGCTCCGTACAGTGAGACCCCCCCCTCGTATGGATATGATCTGGAGCCTCGCAGCGACCCCCCCTCTCTCCCTGGCTCTCCCCCCTCCTCACCTCGACTCCGATCAAAGAGCAGAAGCAGTCGAGACACCCAGTCCTCCGGCTCTCTGGAGTCCACGCTGTCGGTGAGGTCACTGGGTCAAATCCCATCATGCTAACACCCCCTCCTTCAAATCCATCTTTTATCTGCTGCTGCTGCATTCACTGCCCTCTCCACACACACCATGCGACATCGAGATGGTCTGACTGCTTGCTTTCTTTTTACCCTGACAGTAGAATGACAATGTTTGCAGATCTTAGCCTCTGATATTGTGAGTTCAAAACTAAGAGCTGCATCATGTTGGGGTTGGAGCCATACTTGCCAAACTTGGGACCTCAGAAATCGGGAGCATTTCAAAACCACCGCGCGGGGGGGGGGGGTGCTGCTAGTGGATCGCCGGAGCTGTATTAGATTAACATTAACATGCTTATTGTAGTTGTAAGTGCACTGTCTTGATGGAGCATATGTGTGGGCTGGACCTGTATTACAGGAAAGGAGTGAGCAGAGGGTAGAGTTGTTGATTCTTGTTCTGTTTTCTGTGACTATCTGCCTCACCCTCTCAGAATTTCAGTTGCACGCGCTACTAAAGAGACGCGCTACCAGGGAAACCAAACAATGGTGGAGCTGTATTAAAGTCAGAGTGGAAACAGTCCTCAGTAAATCGGATTTAGACAGAAATCGGGAGAAATGCGGGAGAAATATGACCCCGGGAGGAAACCGGGAGAGGGCAATGAAATCCGGAGTCTCCCGCGAAAATCGGGAGGGTTGACAAGTATGGTTGGAGCTCTTTACTTGAAGCCAGCTAACGTCTGGTAGCGGTTTGCTGGTAGATCAAAGCAAAAGGCTAACATCGAACATACAAGGAGTTGCAGTTTTCTTAACGTTTCTTTTTTTCATTCACTGTCCTCTCTACACACGCCATGCAACACTTTCAGGAGCGCTGGCTTCTCCTTTTGGGGTTTAAAAATACAAGTTGTATTGGTATGTGCGCGGGGAGGACATGTTTGAGGCAAGGCAAGTTTATTTATATACGATACGATATCTTTTATTGTCCCCATAAGGAAACGTGTTCTGGACTCCATCCTGGACTTCCTTGTGTGCTTATCAAAAAGACAATTAAAGCATTAAGACATAGTGGAATAATTACGTTAAATTGAATTTAAATACATTCAAAAACAGTCAAGACAATCGGGTAGGTTTAAAATACACGAATAAAAGATACAGTGCAGACGAAGATATGAACAGTCATTTGATTTAATAAAAGGCAGCAGCAAAAAGTCTTTACTTTAAGAGAGTGGAGCTGCAGCTTTCTGGTGTCTTCCAGATGTACGGAGCATCAAAACTGAACGCTGCTCCTCCACAGAAAGCAGGCCGACCCCTGAAGGTAGCATCGAACTACTTTCATCCACAAAAAGCCAATGGGATTGTTCCACTGGATTCTGGCTTATTGCTGAGAACAAAGCTTCATAGCAACAAACGTTTAACATACATGCTTTTTGTTCAGCAGGACCATCTTTCTTAAATTGCATTGATGTCAACATGCCGACACATTTTAGATTTCTTTTAGGACTCGTTGCTGCACCTCTCTTTCACCGTGCTTACTGTTTGTGAGTTGGTGTAAAAGATACTCAAGAACTAGGTTCATTTCAGGTCAATCATTTAAAGTACAGTATATGGCTCCACATTTGTTACCTCTGCCCTTTCAGTGCTTTAATTGTTTCACTGAATTACTTCAACACTTCCTATAAACCTCGTTCTCTCTGTTGCAAAGAGGATATTGCTTCTTCTTCTGCTTCTGCTTCCCTGCGTGTTGCTGCGTGTTTGTGCTTTAAAGTTGCTTTCAATTTCAATTTGATGCAACTTTTAAAAGACAACCTTTACTCCACTGCATTTAACTGACAGCTGGAGTAACTGATTACTTTACAGATTAAGATGTATACTTCTAAAAATATACAACTGTACTATAGATTAAACTGTCCGACATTATATTAAGTACTTTACTTTTCCAGTAATGTAACATGTTGTCAGTGGCGTAAAGTAACTAAGTACAGTTACTCAAGTACTGTACTTAAGTAACATTTAGAGGTGCTTGGACTTTACTTGAGTATTTCCATTTAATGCTACTGTGTACTTTTCCTCCACTACATGTATTTAATACCTTTAGTTACTTCTCAGATGTGGATGAATGATGTGAAATATAATCAAGTGTTAAATCAGACTTTAGTTCCACCTGGAGTAAATNCAGTTACTCAAGTACTGTACTTAAGTAACATTTAGAGGTGCTTGGACTTTACTTGAGTATTTCCATTTAATGCTACTGTGTACTTCTACTTCTCTACAGTTCAGAGGTAAATGGTGTACTTTTCCTCCACTACATGTATTTAATACCTTTAGTTACTTCTCAGATNATACAAAGTCATTCAAACTAGCTGCACCTTTACCAGCTTTGAGAACACTTTCATGATCAATCATTATAAAACCTATCATATATATTATTCTGAAATGGACTAATCTGCACAACGACTACTTTTACTGTCGCTACTTTCACTATATTTTGATGAGAATACTTTTCTACTTTCACTTGAGGAACATTTTGAATGCAGGACTTTTACTGTAACAGAGTATTCCTACACTCTGGTACTTCTACTTTTACTAAAGTACAAGACCTGAGTACTTCTACTTTAACTCAAGAACAGGATCTGAGTACTTCTACTTTTACTCAAGTACAAGATCTGAGTACTTCTACTTTTACTGAAGTACAAGACTTGAGTACTTCTTCTTTTACTACAAGAACAAGATCTGAGTACTTCTTCTTTTACTACAAGTACAAGATCTGAGTACTTCTACTTTTACTCAAGTACAAGATCTGAGTACTTCTACTTTTACTCAAGTACAAGATCTGAGTACTTCTACTTTTACTCAAGTACAAGATCTGAGTACTTCTACTTTTACTACAAGATCTGAGTACACTACTTTTACTCAAGTTCAAGAGGAGCTGAAGTATTATAATCAAATGTTGTAAAATGACCTCTGGACAAGCTTTGGTAAACAGATTTTAAGCTTACATTAAAAAAGCGTCACACTTCCTCAAAGGAATCATCGTTATGGTTTTTATCTCAGACGTTGCAAATCTCCTCCCGATCCGTTATAAAACTTTTTTTACAGGCTTACTGAACACACTCAGCAAACACTCTCTGCGAACAGATGTCTAAAGAGTTCCCCTCCCCCTCCAATCTGTGCCTGTACTGTCCGTGGCATAACTATCCTCTGATGTGGGATCTTCAAAGTCTAAATCATCCTAATGGCCGTGGAGAGAGGGAGGGGCTAAATCAGCGTGCAGCTCTTTTTTAAAATCAGGCTAATATAAGAGAGTGCTGCAGGATTTAGAAATTAGGGAATGAGTTAGCGTTGTCCCACTTCCGGCTCCCTCGTCTCCAAGTCAAAGGTACTTTTGGTTCAATGGGTGGTTCAGGAGCTTCTGACTGTTCTTTCACATGATGTACGTCAGGACATATACTGTTTAAATGAGGCTGTTGCTAACAAGAGGCTAAGATACACAGCCGATTTAGCTAGTCCAAATCAGAGCGAAATGTATACTTTCGTGGTTTTTATAAGGCCGTTTAAAACATACCAGACAAAAATGTAGTTTGTTGCTGGGCTTCAACGAAGGAGCTTTAGACTATTTTAACATACTTTCATTTACAATATATCATTGATATTGTTTTTGTGTCCATGTAGAAGTTTTTTTTGTTATTATATTATATTATATTTCTGAGGACAATGTTGATTTCCCCAATAATTTCATATTTTATTTCTCATTTTGCCTTTTTGTTTTTCCTGCATGACGTTACCCAACTGCTAGCTTCTAAAATGTTAGCTTCAGTAGCTTCTAGACACTGAGGGTAACATTAAAGTTGCTCGCAGCAGTGTTCTCACCTCTTGAACGTCAAGTATCTCATGTTGTTGACGTTGCCATCTTAGGGTAAGAATACCGTGAACAAAGTTTAACACGTGACGGAGGAAGAACTACACACACACCATCGGCATTGCTTCAACCGGAAGTGAAACGTTTATTGCGCATGTCCATTTATAACGACAATACAGGAGATGAGTTTTAGTATAAGACTACAAAATAAACATATTCATTAGTATAACTCAACAAATGTAAACAATTTCCAATATCATAACAATATATAATTTAAGAGCACCATGTGTGCTGCTGTTGAAGTCATGTGACCGCTCCATCATAGCCTAATGTTAACTTTTACTTCTGGCGAATGCATTTACGCTTCGAAAACAGAAAACTGGTGCATTTCAAAGATCTTGCTAAACAAAGAAATGAAATCACCATAACTATTCTTTTGCCACACAGCTTTATTTCTGCACTAATCCAAAATCCAATGGAAAATCCCAGTGGATATTTGTTGAGGTAACCATTACAAGGCTTATTTAGAGCTTAAGTGTTCGTGTACCAAAACACCCTGCAGCAGCGTTTCAGAGCCTCATACAGCTCCTCTCAATCCTCCACTTCTTTCTGACATGACTCCTCTCACCAGGATGACTGATGGCTCCGACCCGTGAGGAATAACAACTCTCGGACAAGAACCACATTTGTCTTCTTTAAAATGCAGGGAGTCTCCTCTAGGAATGTAAAACTCCTACAGAGTTTAATCAAATCTGCTCCGCACCTTATCCCACAACAACAGTATATCTGCAGAGAGGGGTGGGCTTTAGGGGGCTTGGTTTGCATTATGTTTTCGTTATCCAATCCAATCCAACTTTATTGAGTTGACCAAAGGGCTGCACATCAATACATATATCAAAAGCAGCATAAATACATTTAGACAAAAAAAACGGAGACCATCCTTATGCCACAGAATGAAAACTCTCATACACGATGTAAAAACATTTTAAAAACACAACACAATAGAAACCCCCAATTTAGAAAACAAAGACTGATACGTGTTATACGTGGTCTGCAAAAGCAGGGGAGAACAAGTAGGTCTTTGAACGAGATTTGAAAACGGGCAAAGTGGGAGGAAGTCGGATCGGGGGGGGGGGGGCAAATCGTTCCACAGCCTTCTTCTTGTGAGTCTTTTGTTTTGGAGAATGTATTTTATCTTTATGATTGATGATGGATTTCCTCTCTCTCCGCCATGTGTGTTTCAGGTGGAGATGGATCAGGAGAAGGGGCTGGAGATGAGGAAGTGGGTTCTGTCAGGAATCCTGGCCAGTGAGGAGACATATCTGGGCCATCTGGAGGCCCTACTGATAGTATGTTTAACACACACACACACACACACACACACACACACACACACACACACACACACACACACACACACTGCAAATGATGACATCAACTGTGTTGTAGAAAAACCACAACATGAGTCCGTAGAAAAAAACGAGAAACTTAATTGCGCATTTACTGTATAACCTTTTAACATTGGAAATTATTTAAATTGGATATTAACAGAAGCTAAGTTTAATTAATTACATTCATGATGACTTGCTTTTACTTGTTACATAATAATAATAATATATTTTATTTATAAGCACACTTTTCATTTGCGTAAAACAAAACTCAAAGTGCTACAAAATTAAAAAGGGTGAAACAAAACAACAAAAGCAATAAAAACAATTAAAAACAATTTCACATGCACACAAAAATGTCCTTTTCATAATAAGAAATATGCTAATGGTGTGGCGCAATTAAGATTGTTGTGGAAACAACTCCTAAATTCTCGCTTTGTGTCGTTTTAACCTTGTAGTGTGTGTGTGTAAAATCTTCTTCCTACAAACATATTATCATTACATTGTTTGCTTCTCCAGCCCATGAAGCCTCTGAGAGCTGCAGCCACGACGTCCCAGCCGATGCTGACCATCCAGCAGATAGAGACCATCTTCTTCAAAGTGCCCGAGCTTCATGAGATCCACAAAGACTTCTTCGACGCGCTGCTGCCCCGCGTGCAGGACTGGAGCCACCAGCATTGTGTGGGCGACCTCTTCCAGAAACTGGTAGGCCAATCAGACGCTTGATAGCTTCAGGAGACTAAAGTGTTAAAGTTGTATCTGCAAGTCGAGCATGTGAAGAATTGTTTTTCACCACGTTATCTCATACCTGTAATCACGTGTCAACACAAGCAGGCCAAGCAATCCATTCCTTCATGTACTTCCATTCATATTTAGTAAATTATACTTAAACAATTATCATCCTTGCCACAGAGAAAGGACATGAATGGTTGAGTTTAGGGTTTTCGTGGATTTCTAAAAGTCTTAAAAGGCACAGAAAAGAAGGCTTTCATTGGTATTAAAATGTCAATTAATTTAATAAAAATGCTTTAAAAACACTGGGATGGAAATAAGTTATGGAGGAAAACATGTCGTGGCAGTGTTGCAGAACCAAAGCTACAAAAACCTGTTTTTCTACTTCATTTGTTGGAACTTGAACGCAGCAGAAAACTTTCAGACTGAGGAGTAAACAAGGAAACCTGAGAGCAAGGAAAACACAGAGTATCTGATTCACTGATAACAGAGAAATGTGAGATAACGTTTTGATTTAAAACACTTTTTTAACTGCAGTGTGAGCAGAGGTGGGAGAAGTACTCAGAACTTGTACTTGAGTAAAAGTAGAAGTACTCAGATCTTGTACTTGAGTAAAAGTAGAAGTACTCAGATCTTGTACTTCAGTAAAAGTAGAAGTACTCAGATCTTGTACTTGAGTAAAAGTAGAAGTACTCAGATCTTGTACTTGAGTAAAAGTAGAAGTACTCAGATCTTGTACTTGAGTAAAAGTAGAAGTACTCAGATCTTGTGTACCAGAGTGTAGGAATACTCTGTTACAGTAAAAGTCCTGCATTCAAAATGTTCCTCAAGTAAAAGTAGAAAAGTATTCTCATCAAAATATAGTGAAAGTAGCGACAGTAAAAGTAGTC